CAGTTTCAATTTGGTAAAATTTATTTTCAAACCAATGCATTTAATTTCAAATTTTGCACATTCAATCTGAGAAATTCATATTCACTTCCTGCTGACACAAGATTGATCCCGTACACGTTTGTCATGACTTATATAAATAAACTGAATTGAACTGCAAATCAAACGTGTAAAATCTCAAGTGTAAACACTGAGTTTAGATGCATTTTAGTGTCAAAATGTTTCAAACAAACTAAATATATTTGGAAAAAAACGTGGAAGAAATACAGTATCTCTGAAGCCCAGTTAAAGAGAGTAAAATAATGTGTTAGTGAAATATAAGAAGTGAGGGGTGGAGTGAAACCTCTGCAGTGATTTAACACTGTTTTCACCACATCTGCTCAGGGTTCCTGGTGAAGAGTGCAGGGAGTGAAGGACACTCACAGAGAAGAGCCTGACAGCTGAACCTGGTGACTCCTGACAGCTCTACTGGGATGTCATTAACCAGCACCTGCTCTTCACCCACTGACAGGTTCAAGTTGATCTGAAACACAAAACAAACACAAAACAAACACAAAACAAACAGGGACTTCACTACTTTTATCCGTCTAGGCCTTGAAACAGGTTGGCTAAGTTAGTTTCCAGGAATTGTACCTGTAAGTCGTTGAAGTCCTGAAGCCGTGTGTCTGACAGTGTCCCTGCTGTCACATTGATCAGGACATTTTCCTGACAAACGGACGGTTCAAAGCAAGAAAAGCAGAGATGAAGGTTTAATGCCCGCCAGGCGCCAGCGACACACAGCTAACGCTAATGTCAACAACAATGACGTGTTTTAGTTAACTCTTTGAGTCTTACCGTGTTCAGCTGTCTGCTCAACGTCCCCGCGACAAAAACAACAAACACAACACAACTACCTGCACGCTTCATTTTTGTTTGGATCTGACTTCACCTGGAAAAAAAAAAACAACACCTACGACCAGATGCTGCGCAGACACCGAACTGCGCATGCGCAGACACTTAACTGCGCATGCGCTGAACATCTCCGGAACAAGTTCTCGCGAGAACTGCGGCCGCAGTAATGGCGGTGCTGCTTGAAACGACGCTCGGTGATATTGTTATTGATCTGTTCACGGATGAAAGGCCTAAAAGTAAGAGAATATCAGTCTCCTGTTAATTAATTCAGTTTATTTCACTAACTGTGTGTTATTTGACACATGGAGACGTGAATACTAAATTACAGAACGTGATGTTAGCCCAGCTAGCTGCTGTTGCTGCGTTTGTTTACTTTTATTTATTAAAACTTCAAAAGCAGCTGTACCTTTACACACACAAATCTAAACGTCAGTGTTTTAGAGACGATATGAACATTTGATAAATAATGTAAGCTCACAACTCTGTGCTCTTTTTCAGCTTCCTTAAACTTCCTGAAGTTATGCAAAATAAAATATTACAACTACTGCCTCATCCACAATGTGCAGGTAAAACTAAGTGTAAAAACTCATAAAAACATTTCTACGTTCACCAGACACAGTTAAAACCACAAGCAGTTGGAATAACTCTACATTTGATATGGCAAGCCCTTATTACAAACTACTGTATACATTTTATACAATGTCCAACTTTGTCATAATTTCAGTTGTATGTGTGTAGTGAGATAAGCTGAGAAAACATCTGTTTGTTCTCAGAGAGACTTCATCATACAGACTGGAGATCCATCTGGAACGGGTCGTGGAGGAGAATCTGTGTACTGGTCAGTCACCATGGCCTCTGAAGGTTTCCTTTATCACAACAATGATGATGATGAAAACTTCATTTCCGCTGTGTGTTGGTAGTAAACTGTACGGAGACCAGGCCCGCTTCTTTGATGCAGAGAAAGCTCCACGTATCAAACACAGGAAGAGGGGGACGGTGTCCATGGTCAACAATGGGAACGATCAACATGGCTCTCAGGTGGAGGAGACGGCTTCACGTCTGCTTTGAAACATTCTTTAACTCTTCTCTTATTCAATGCATTTTGTGCTTTTTCAACTATTTATATGTCCAAATATTTAACTTCTTCAGGACATGCCAGCTATGATTGATGGTACTACAGCATTTGATACTTTTTGACATATTTAGCTTTTTCTCATTTAAAATGACTGCAGCTGTTTCATCATCCTGTAAATGTTCATAAATCTTTACTGGACTTTTTACTTTTTGTTGTAATTCTGCTTTTTTCAACTTTTTTGTCCTAATTTCAGCTTCTTACTGCTTAAAATCAGCAACCGTGCTCTTTCTGTTTCTTTGTGCCGATTTCAGCTACTTTTTAAAAATGTTTTAACAATGTTTAGGCTATTTTCAGTTTTTTTAGCTATTCGTGAAAACTCTTTTAGTATTAATCACTGCGTTTTTGCAGGTAATGCAAATCCTCAAGTCTAGTTGACATTTTAAAAAGTCAGAAGATTAGCTCTGCAAAACTTGAATAACTCATATAAAAAAAGTTTTTGTATGTGTAAATTCAATTCATTTATTCATTTCATTAAAAAACAAACAAAACATTTCACACGCAACGAAACAATACAAATAAAATAAAATGAAAGGAAGCAAAAGAAGAAAATCTTATATCTGCTCCTTTTTTAATTAAAAGATATTTCAAACAATGATAAACCAAATAATAAAACAAAACAAAAATTTCAATTCCTCCAACAGTAACTAATACAAATTAAACAATTTCACATTTCTTTAACATTTTTTCTTTGTTTTCTTAAAGAATTTCACTGATCCAATGCTTTTACAGTCATCCTCCAGATTATTCCATAATCTGATACCTTTCACTGAACTGCATCTGTCCTTCAGATTTGTTCTGATTTTTGGTTTGACAAACATTTTTAATCCCTTCAAATTAAAGCAGCTTTTCCTCTTAACAAAATGTGATTGGATGTTTGAAGATAACACATTTTTATTATCTTTATACATAACCTGCAGAATGTTATAATCAACCAACTCATGAAATTTTAACAACTTTAATTGATGAAACAATATATTAGAAGGGTGATAGTAATGCTTTCTTGTAATAATTCTTATGGCTCTTTTTTGTAAAATAAAAAATAGGATTAGTAATGGTTTTACAGGCATTTCCCCAGACTTCTATACAATAAAACAAATGTGGAACAATTATTGCATTATATATAGTATAAATAGTGCTTTGTCATTAAATAACTCCTTAACTTTATACAGAACTGCAATAGATTTTGCCATTTTTGTTCTTAAGTAATTTACAAGAGGTTTCCTTGACAATTTTTCATCAATGATGACTCCCAAAAACTTCACCTCACTGACTCTACAGATCTCAACACCCTCTACTCTAAATGGATCAATTGTTTTCTTTCTATTACTAAATATCATGTAATTTGTTTTATCTACATTTAATGATAATTTATTATGTTTAAACCAATTTTGTACTTTTACAAATTCCTTTTCCAACATCTGTTCTATGTTATTACCCAAGAAAAAATGTGGTGTCGTCTGCAAGTAAAACACACTTAAACAACCCTGATACATTTACCAAGTCATTAATATATAGGAGAAACAACTTTGGTCCCAATGTAGAACCCTGTGGAACCCCACATACAATATTACAAAGTTCAGATCTTACATCATTCATTTGTACAAACTGTTTCCTATTGGTTGAATGTGTCCGTTGTGTTACAGGCAGGACTTCATGTGTGTTTTCTCTCTTAGTTTCTCATTACAACAGGTGAGAACCTGGACTATCTGGATGGAGTGCACACTGTGTTCGGAGAAGTCACTGAAGGGCTAGACGTCCTGACAAAGATCAATGAGTCCTTTGTCGACACAGATTTTGTCCCATTTCAGGATATTAGGTGAGTCAGGACAAACTGTCGTGATTCTTAATGCCAACATTTGCTGCTTCATATTCTGAAAGCAGCTGCTGGTGGTCAGGTCCGCTGCCTTATAAATCAGAGGCTGTGTGCAAAGTTCACCAGCTGTAGCAACTCCTGAAGAAGGGAGAAACAGAAAAACAGTATTTTTTAGTTTTTGATAGATTGTGTATGGGTCAGTGTGTCTGCATATTAGGATTTTCTTTTAAACATATTTTTAAATTTTCAACTGCACTCACGTAGGGTTTTTGGGACACAGGTGTGTTACAGCGGCAACAATTTTACATCTGTTTGCTGTGGCCACCTGGGCTCCAGTTTTACTGTACACCTTAGACATTTACTCATAACCTCATAACATTTACACATAGGAACTTGGGAGTGGGCACTTATGCATGCTAGGGGCGGGATGGGACAGTCTTGCCACGGATGCCTGTGCCCACTCACATTATTTTCCTTTAGACACTTAGGGTGGGGTTGGAGCTGGAGGAGGGGAAACTGGCATAGTGCTGGCCTCTGCCCTGTCTTCTTCCCCATTTTAATTGCATTATAGAACATCACACATCAACAGTACATCTGAGGGTGGCGGTGTGTGTGTGTCGGGGTCTTTTTTTTACTCTCCCGTTCCCCGTCTGGGGATGGGGTCCTGGTGGGGAGGGGCTGACCATCTGGTGGGGTCTGGGCTGCGGGCGGACATGGGGCTTAGAGGGGCTCCGGAGGCGGGGCTGGCGCTCCGGCTTCCCTGGGACTGTTCGGGCTCCTGGAGTCTGGCTCCTGGTTGCTGTGGTTGGCCCACTGGCTGGGGTGGCTGCCGGAGTCTGGGGGGTGGTTGGTTGGGGTTGGGCACCTGGCCGTTGGTAGGTTGTGGGGGTGGTCCGGGGCATGGCTTTGCTGGGGCGGGGGGATGGTCAATTGGACTGGTGCGGCCTGGGCTGGGACTTGGCTGTCTGCTCTTCTCCACCCCAGACTGAAGGGGTCTACCTCCTGGGTTCAGGTGTGAGCTGCCCTCTGCTGGGGGTGGGTGCATATCCTGGACCTGGGGGGTATAACGTATGTATGGGGAGTGTGAGTGGATTGTGGCGTCCATCTTGTGTGTCTTTGAATTAGGAATGTGTGAAATGGCAAATAATTCATATCACGATATTCATTATGATGAGTGGCAGTAACGATATATACGATATAAAACTTATAATAGAAAATAAATAAATCACACATTAATTGAGTGGAATAAATATGTATAGGTAAAAAAATTTAGACCTTAAAATCTCCTTTTTTAAGGGACACTTTAAAGTCTCCCATAAAAATCTAAATTTAAGGGGGATCTACCTGGTTAAATCATATATATTTTAACACACACACACACACACACACACACACACACACACACACACACACACACA